TAAGTTATCTTGTTGCACAAACTTCGCCTATAAAAGTTGAAAGTTATTCATTTTTGGTAGCTTGTTTTGAGCTGATAGAATTCGTCAAAGCTCCATGTTGTTTATCTCCCTCTTTTCGACACATTGAGAAATTAGAGAACATAGTTAATAGCCTGAGTATATGATTTTAATGCTTTTTTAGAACAATATTTATATCAGTGCTCAGCAACACATGAATCGATTGAGTTGAAATTCTCACTAAGGATAAATTATAGAATGGGTTGTCGATTGATAGAGTTTTCAGTTCGAAGTGTCCTATTATGGGAAAATCTACATAGCTCACTCTTCTATATGTATGAGTTATCGATTTATGATGCAAAAATGTATTTGGATGCTTCACGAATGACTTTATTTCGGTATTAAATAATGCATAGTTCAGCTCTGCATGAAGGGTGTGGGCATGGGTTTGGCTAGTTTCTTGACCTATCCACATTCTCTACAGTTGACGAACAAACATGAAAGAAAAATTCTCGATCAGTAATAATGTCTAGATGAAACTGGCTTAGATGTAATAGAATGCGAGGACATCTTTCGAGATTTGATTTGCGAAATTTCGACTATTCGAAATGCTATTTTATTCAAGATTTTGCTGCTTTGACACTTCGGAGTTCGAGACTTTGCTTATTCGAAGTCTCATCTTTCAAGCATTTTACAGTAGTTCGAAGGTTCATCTCATGGGAAAGACATCGTGGGTTCGAGCAAAAAGTAATCTCTTGACGTCCTCAATGGCTAGTTTCACCTAGGCAATAAACCGAACCATCTTCGGCCAGCTTTATCTGCGACTTGAACTTAATTAAATGAGTCTCAAGAGTATGTGAAAAGAAGTTTTCCAGAACACAACATCTAGAGGTTTCGATTTTTCTAGACAGAATACATAGCAAACAGATAGATCAATTATCACATCTCGATCGTGACACTATTTCAATGTAGGAAAAAATATATTTATGTATCTCTTTATGAGTAAGTAGAAAGCTAGGTAATTTAGCAAAAGCGAAAGATTGTTCTGTTCGTCCATCTGAACATGATAAGTACGAAACATATTTCGATTGAGAGTTCAGAATTATTCTCGGAAGAACAAGGTCTGGTCACAACTCAAATAGATATTGTAATCTAACTAGATAAAAAAAAATATTAAGCTTAATCTTGTAGGTAAATGACGTTTCTGTTTTGCTACTCATTAAAATGTTTCAGTAAGTTATATTGAATCAGTTTGTCAAAGTGAGATATTTTGGAAAATTGGAAGTATGAAGCTGCGAAAATTCCATAAAAACCCATTTGAAATTTCAAATTTGGTGTTCAATTCGAAATTATTCCACGTTCTTTCTCTGAACAGTCTGAAATATGCATATATCACACGAAAGTATACAAGTTGTTTCCAAATATTTTCAAAATATCACTAATTTATAATAATTACTCGAAATGTAATCGTTATAGATGCTGAATTTCGTAGGTATCAAAACCAAGACGAAATGAATTTTCCACATTACTAAGTAGGTGTCTTTGCTGTATTGTAGCATGCATCAGAATTTTGACGAGTACACATCCCGTTAAATATTTTGCTGGCTAACTGTATGCGAAGACGATTCATCAATAGGTGTAGACTCTCTCTTAGGAGTCTCGGTCATGATACTTATCTACGTGACACTTAAAGTAAATTGCACCTATGGTGATCCTAGTGTAGATTATTACGCTTGGTCAAATTAAAAAAACATTAGGGGAAAAGTAGACCGACAACGGACGGTGAATTCTATGATCCTTTTTGTAAAGAAGTTCACTTTTTATTGCTGTCTATAGATGAGTAGAATCTCGACTTTACATCGACCAAATGAATGTTTGATTTGCACATTTAGATAGAGTAAATAAAAGTGACTAGTTTCGATTTTACTTTCGTTTTTTTTTAATTTCTAAGTCAACAGAGGAGATATAGTTCCACAGCTAATATTCCTGTTTCTGATCAACACACAGCTTAAAGAAGCACTTCTAATCGAATATCAAACTCCTGACTAATAGCTGACCTTAAGGAACCACTGTTGCAGTCGTAGTAGTGTTCGATTCTTTATTAGCATTCGTGAGACTTATTGCCATAGGAATCGCAACTGCTGCTGCGAACATAAGGAACACATAACAGCTGCCGATAATCGATAAAACGGTTCCACACTGGCATGAACAAAACCTTCGAAAAAATATAAACAAATCTCAAACAAACCTTTTTGGTGATTTTTTCGCTCGGCATAATCTGCATATCCGTCGATTTTGTTTTGACCAGCTTTTCATTTATTTAGCTGAGTATATAAATTAAGCATGATGTGATGGTATGCAGACGTATTAAATGGTTTCTTAAAATGAATGGTTTTCCTACACAAACAAAGCCTTGTTAAAACACACTAATTTGAAGAAAATCACAAAATAACAATCGAAAACATGCTGTACTTTCTCCGAAACAAGAGAATAAAGAAAAAAAAATTTCCGCGAAAAGTTTCTATTATATTGTTTTTCTTCATGGAGGATGTGTGCACTTAGGTGTAAGTCTGTTTTTCAACTGCGCCACACAACCATAGCCACATCCACACCCTGATTGAATATTGATATAACTGGAGCAATATCCATTGAAATACGAAACTTTTCAATTTTTTTAATTTCTATTCTACATCTAATATGGCATCTACTGCACTTTGATTAATGAACGTCACAAAATCTAGACAACTTTCATGATAAGGAACAAGACTAAATCAAATATGCCGATGTTGCTACTATTTAAATCAAAACTCATTTATAAGGGGTGCTTGTTACATTATGAAAGCAATAAATAGACGAAGGTTTGATGCATTAAATAATTTTTTATTGTCATGCATGAAATCTTTTCATTTCAAATGGGTCTTGATATCATCAATAATTATTTTAATATAACCTGGATTTTTCATTTATATGAAATGAATAATTTCTTCAGCATCAAAATCACCTTTCCTAATTCATACGGAAAAAACTCATCGGGCTTCTTCATCTTAAAACCTCCATAAACACTACCAGATGATATTAATTGACTTCTAGTAAAGCAATCATCAATGTTTCAAAGACCAAATCATGTAATAAAGGACAGAAGCGCATAAGAGTCAGTTTTGCATCATTCATACTTTACTTAATGCAGAATTTCATGGCGAATCGTTTAGTNTAGAACAATCAATTGTCTATTGTTATTGTACACATCCTTTAGAATTTTTAATTTATTTTATTTTATTTGTTTATATTTAAAAAAAGAATTAATTGAGAGGAACAGAACGAAAGAAATTGTTCTGCGACGAACAGAACGAAAAAAAATTGTTCTGCGACGAAGTGATTGTGACGAAGTAATCGCGACGAAGTGTTGTGCGACGAAATGCACTAGTGCCAAACTAAGAACAATGTTCGACATGATATTCTATTTTTAAAATATTTTGAGATAATTAGTGTTCACATACAATTCAATTATAAGTTAACAATTCAGTTATATATAAACCATGGCACAATGTAGCGGGGTAAACTGGTCGACTTGTCGATATAAGGTATAAAGATCAATACTCTATATTTTCATTTACCTTCTGATCTCTTTAGAAAATCCTGCTAAGATTTAGACAGAAATTTCTTTTTTAATAGGAATTATGGCAATCCTGATAGGATTCTGATATAAAAACAGTAGAAAGCTGCTCCACATCATCCCAAGATTTTGTTCTAAATCGTGTCGAGACCTTGGAATTCTATGACTACATTTTTCTTTCAGGATTTGGTCGTATCCTCAGGAAAAATATAGTGAACCGTTGAAGGATCCTTATTATATGTATGTAGAATCTAATGTGGAAGGACTAAAAGTTTTCTCTACAGTTATAGCAACACAAGGAGAAGGAGAGAGAATTTTTTCATACATCATCTAAAAGAAAGTCAAATATAATGCCATATATGAAATCATGTTGCAATAAATCTTTTCTGCACTTGTACGTGCCGTTGTGACACTAAAGAAAGCCATAGATAAGAAAAGAGAGTGAGGTACTTAAGTAAAATGGAAAGAAAACAGAATTAAAACGGTAACAACAAGCAAAATCAAATTTAAACATATCGATAAATATTCTAATATACTATAACTTGTTCAGGTCATTTTATTTTAGTTTTTTCATAGATTTAACACTACAACCACTATGGACACAAAGAAAAAGCCGACAACGACAACAACTGTTGCTGCTGCTACATCATCTGAACTTACGAGCATAGAGCCACAACCTCCTTCTTATGGTCGTATGACTCAGAATTTCCTGCTGGTGTGGCTCGATGATCATATTAATGGCATGAATAATGACGATTATTTCAATAGTATCAACAAATTAAAAGAAGTGGTCAACAAGATATATTTATTCAGTGATGTGGATGAATGCGTGGATTTCATAACTGACATTCAAGACGAGAAAATATTTATGATCTTTTCTGGTTTCTTCCCGCAAACAATTATTCCTATCATTCATGACATTTCACAAATCAATACTATTTATATCTGGGGCAAAGACTATGTGAAATATGAAGATTGGACCAAACAATGGACAAAAACCAAGAGTGTATATACAGATATTGACACAATCTGTAAAACACTTCAACAAGCTGCACATAAATGCGATCAAAATTTGGTCCCCATTAGTTTGGTTCCCACTAGTAATGAAAATCACAAACGAAATCTGGATGAATTGGACCCATCATTTATGTACACACAAATATTAAAAGAAATCTTGTTAAGCATTGATTTCCAAGATAAACATTTCAATGATTTTATATCATGTTGTCGTCAACTGTTCGCAAACGATGCTGACAAATTGAAAACCGTCGACAAGCTCGAACAGGAATACAACAAGCATGTTCCGATATGGTGGTACACTTCCAATTGTTTTCTTTATTCAATGCTGAATCGATCGTTACGCGTGATGGAGGTCGATCTTATCGTCAACATGGGATTTTTTATTCGAGCTCTCCATAATCACATCGGTGAACTTCATGCACAGCAGTTCTCTAGACACTCGTCTTCAAATTCATTTATTGTTTATCGTGGTCAAGGACTCTCAGGGATGGACTTTGATGAACTGGTCAAGACACCAGGTGGACTTTTATCATTTAATAATTTTTTATCGACTAGCCTTGATCGAGAAGTATCACTTATCTTTGCTGATAGTAATCAAAGTGATCCCAATCTAATAGGTATTCTCTTTGAAATAACTATCAATCCATCAGCATCAACCACTGCTTTCGCAAACATTCGTGACGTCAGCTATTTCAAAGGAGAAGACGAAATTCTCTTTTCCATGCATTCCATTTTTCGCATTGGAACAATAAAACAAATCGATGGAAATGATCGTCTTTGGCAAGTCGAGTTAACATTGACCAGTGACAACGATCCAGAACTGCTTGCACTTACCGAACAAATGCGCAAAGAGATTTATCCCCATCTCGACGGATGGAATCGTTTAGGCATGCTACTAATTCAACTTGGACAACTCGACAAAGCTCAAGAGGTATACAATACTCTGCTTGGTCAAAGTACGAATGATCGGGAAAAAGCTACTATTTATAATGGACTTGGAAGTGTCAAGACTGCCCAAGGTGAATATAAAGATGCCGTCGCCTACTATCAACAAATAAATAATATACTACAGAAAATTCTATCTCCAACAGATGCCGATTTGACTATCTCTTACAAGGATAATGGTTCAGTGTATACTAACATGGAATACTATTCGAGTGGACCTTCCTCTCATCAAAAAACACTGAAAATCAAACAAAAAACTGATTCTTCAATTCATCTTGATTTGGCTGCTAATTATAACAATATTGGTTTAGTGTATGAACATATGGGTGACTATTCGAATGCACTAAGTTTTTATAAAACAGCACTGGAAATCAAGCAAAAAATCCTTCCTTCAGATCATCGTGATTTAACTGCTACTTACAACAACATTGGTTCGGCGTATAGCAACATGGGTAACTATTCGAAAGCACTTTCGTATTATGAAAAAGACCTCGAAATATGCAAAAATACTCTTCCATCGAATCATCCTAACTTGTCTACTTCTTACAACAACATCGGTATGGCATATTACAATCTGAAAGACTATTCGAAGGCACTTTCATATTTACAAAAAGCGCTAGAAATTTTCAAAAAAAGTCGTCCTTCAAATCATCCTCACTTGGCTAATTCATACAACAATATCGGTTTGGCGTATTCCAACATGAATGACGATTCGGAGGCACTTATATATTATCAAAAAGCATTGGAAATCTGCCAAAAACGTCTTCCTACAACTCATCCTTATTTTGTTAATTTATACAATAATATCGGTTTGGCGTATTACAATATGAGAGACTATTTGAAGGCACTTTCATATTATCAGAAAGCACTTGAAATCGGCGAAAAAACTTTTCCTTCAAATCATCATCATCTGGCTACTTCTTACAAAAACATCGGTTTAGTGCATGACAACATGGGTAACTGCTTGAAGGCACTGTCATCTCATCAAAAAGCACTGGAAATTCGTCAAAAAACTCTTCCGGCAGATCATTCTGATTTGGCTACTTTTTACAACAACATTGGAGGGACGTATTCGAACATGGGTGACTATTCAAATGCACTTTCATTTCATCAAAAAGCATTGGATATTCGTCAGAAAGCACTTCCTTCAGATCATCCCGATTTTGCTAATTCTTACAACAACATAGGTTCGGTGTATTTCAATATGAGTGACTATTCGAATGCACTCTTATATCATCGAAAAGCACTGGAAGTCTTCCAAAAAAGTCTTCCTTCAGATCATTGCGATTTGGCTACTTCTTACAACAATGTTGGTTTGGTATATTTCAACATAGGCGACTATTCAAATGCACTATTGTCACATCAAAAAGCTCTGAAAATTTGGCAAGAAGTTCTACCTTCAAATCATCCTGATTTGGCTGAATGCTACAATAATATTGGTTCGGTGTATTTCGAGATGAATGATTGTTTGGAGGCACTTTCGTTCCTTAAAAAAGGACTCAATATCAAACAAGAAACTCTTTCTTCCAATCATTCTGATTTGGCTCAATGCTACAACAAGATTGGTTCGGTTTATGACAATCTGGGCGATTATTCAAATGCACTTTCATGGTATCAAAAATCACTGAACGTTGAACAAAAAAATCTCCCTTTGAATCATCATGATTTGGCTACTTCATACAACAATATTGGTTTAGCATATTTCAACATGGGTAAGTACTCGGAAGCACTTTCATCTCTTCAAAAAGCACTGGAGATCGAACAAAAAAATCTTCCTTCAAATCATCCTGATTTGGCTCAATGCTACTACAAGATTGGTTCGGTGTATGATGATATGAATGATTATTTGAATGCACTTTCATTTCATCAAAAAGCACTTGAAATCTGGGAAAAAGCTCCACCTTCAAATTATCTTTATTTAGTTACTTCTTACAACAATATGAGTCTTGCGTATTTCAAAATGGATGACTACTTGAATGCAGTTTCATTTAGTGAACGAGCTCTCACAATATTAGAAAATTCACTACCTGAAAATCATCCTAACGTTCTATCTGTGCGAAGAAACCTCAAATATTTTAAAACAAAATTGTAATGTTTTTTCATGTTTTTTATTAAAATTAGTATAATAAAGAGAGAAAAGGTTCATATTTAATTCTTCAAGTAATTATTCATTTTTTGTTCCAGAAAGAATCGAGATATACCCACGGTAGAGAAATTTCTCATTCAAGACGAATGAAGTAAAAATCAACGTATTCAAGAAATGGTAAAGTTGTGGCTGCGGCTGTTCATAGTTATTTTCTCTTCATTGAACTCAAATGAATTCATATTTACACTCACATTCTTCATTTCCTTAAACGTGATGATTTCATTCATTTTTCTTGAATTTATTATTTCTGGATCATCGTTACTGCTATTCTAAAAAGAAAAGAAAATTATATTTAGTATCTAATTTCATCATAAATTTACATTTAATTCAACAACAAGAGAAATTCTTATTCGGAAAAAAAACACTATGCTGTCATATAAAGAATTTTAAGTTCAAACTTTTGATCGAAAAAGTCTTTTAACCAGATCACCTATTGACAAGAGATTACCAGCGTACTAATCTAGTATAACTCTTCATCTATCAACTGACACATATTAACTATTGATCATATAATAAGAACCGTTTTCTGCAATTTCATTAGGTTTTTGACATTAAATGGCTTTCTCTTTAGCTGAAACTGTTTTCATTTCCGACTAAATATATATGATGTCGCTCGACAATTGTTATTTTTCTATGTATACATATAGTATACCAAATTTAGAACCGGACCGAACGGATCGCTTGAAATTCTTGAGTTAGCTGATGAGAAAAAACAGGTTCATTTAATCTATCAGAAAACTAGCTGTCTTTCAATAAAAAAATTATTACTACAGTTTCATGAAAACAAAGCATGTGATACTCCTAAAACTCTTGGAATTTCCAGTAATAACATTTTCTATTTGTGCCTTTCACAATCCATATACGCGAATAAGAAAAACAAAGGAAGAAGTTTTTCAAAATGTCTTATCCAAACACTAATATTAAATAATATCAATGTTTCTTGTTACTTGACTTTTTCAATGAAGACATGAGTTTTTTACAAGAATGGATACCTTTAGCTATTTTATATTTGAAATTATTATCTGGCACAATTGAAACACTTCTTAAATCGTATGAGACTACGACGGCTGATAGAGAGACAAAATGAATCACAAACTTCGATTTTTATACTAGACTTCTCATTACCTAGATACTTACTCTCCTGCACGAAGTTATCAGATGTCATAATTTTAACCAACATTCTTCGATTGATTCTGTCATGAATAAATGAACTATAAAACAACCAACTATTGGAAACTTTTGAAAATGTGTACAAGATAATCCAAAAAAAGTGACTTCAAGATTTCGAAGTGAAAAATCTCTTCTTCACACAGATATAAACCTCTAGTGAATAGCTAGTTTTTTGTGATCATAATCATTTCATTTAGTATGACCCGAAAAACTTATTATATGATGATACAGTGACAGTTTCACATTGACAAGTAACATTTTGATGATGATTAGAAATTTGTTAGTCGGAAACTTTCAGACTCATATTTCTAAATCGTAGAAACCATGAAAATCGATAAAAACGAGTGAAATAGACTAGTTTCAGTTCTCTTAAAGTTGAAAAAATTCGATCAATCTGCTTTCAAACCTCTAGTACATTATTTCGAATAAAACAACAGACGACTATAAAATTTGACTACAGAACGGGATTAATGTAGACTTGCAGAGATACACCTCCTCTATCTAATGATGTATGTACTATTGGATTCTATTGTGTACCATTGTCACGTCAATAAATGACGCCACCTTCACCATGGCTATGGCAAAATGAGCCAAAAGGTATGCGATAGAGTCTGCTAATGCATACACCATTAGATAGGAGAAGTCTATCTCTACAGGACAAGATATATCTCGTTCCGTAGTCAGAATCTTATTGTCGCCTTTTGGGAGGTATAAGGCGGTCTATTATTAATCTCTTAAAGTTTGTGTTTCTTTTTTGTTAAAAACCAACTATAACTTAGAACTTTTCGCAGTAATGTTTAAGATAAAAAATTTCTCTTGCCATTCAGCAAGATTTTTCATTTCGATATCCAAGAAAAAAAAACTATTTGAACTAATTGTTCTTTTTATTGAAAGAAGAGTATTAGTTTTAAGAAGAAAAACTTCAATTATATACATGAGAATACAAATAAAAAGTTTTTGTTTTTTTTGAAATAATCACAATTACGTTTACAACGAACTCTTAGAAAAAAAATAAAGACTCTATGTTCTAAATTCTTTGTTTCAAAATGTTATTTGTTTGCACTATGATGAGCTAATTTTAAAGTATCATTTCCAATCGCTGGTATTGTACGCTCAACCCGAATAATTTTTACCGGTTTACTTTCATTAAGAACATTATCTATTTCTTCATTTGTTTCTTCAATGACAACAAAGTTTTCGTTCACATGATAATTTGATCGTCTTTTTTTATATATTGGTTCTTGTGAATGAACAATTGATGAGGATTCATCCATAAATGATCGTTTTAAATTATAATTATCATTATGTGTTTCTTCTATTAATTGTTCAGAATTAAGTTTTTTATTCATATATTTTTCAACTGTACTTGAATAAGTATAACCGGGTGCCGCTGTTTGTTGTTGAAATGTTGATTGATATTTATTTTTTGATGGTAAATATGGTCCATGATGATGATTATCATGTTCATCAACTGAAAGAAGTACACGAGATTTATAATTATCAGTAACATAATTTGAATGCGTTGATTCTTGTTGTTCAAGTATAGATTTTCGTGATGTAAATGCAGATTGATAATTATTTGATGGCGTGAATGCGTTTTCTAATGATAATGATCTATCTTCAGTTGATGATTTACTTGTCATAGGTGCCCAAATACCAAAAACAACCGCAAAAAATACCGCAAAAACCTAATATGAATAAAAGAAAAGAATTATTGAATTTCTTTGACGAAAATAATTTTACCATTAAAGCTGTACTAGGTCCAGGCATTCCTTTGTTAATCATTGATCGAAGTAAATCTCGCTCTTGTGTCAGTTTTCTAAATAAATCGAAAAACTATTATATCGAAAGATCATGAAAAAAAGTTAATCATATGAGGACGAAAAATCTTATCTATGAATAAGAATTGCAAGTTTAGGCTTTGTGAAACATGATCTAGAAGGAGTAAAGATTTGAAGATCCCCTCCCTTCCGCACAAACATAACCATGGGAACATCACAAATCATGATTAGAGATCGTTGGATTGATCTCAGACTCGACGGGCTCTAACTATGACTGCCGCTGTTGATATACGATCAAAGTCCTTTGGTTAACTACCTACAACTAGCTTGAAAATTCAGTAAAACGATTATAAATCGGCTGCAAAGGCTCATGGTCAGGTACCCTTCTAGGATCCTATTAGTATTACTTTGAACTCTTTGTGAGTCCAATATAAGCTCAAATGGCAAATATCAGTTCTAATATGATCTACGTTATTAAAGTGATTTGTTCAATGTCAGTATGACGCTGAAATGTGAGAAATTTCCCGAACTCGACTCTGACTAATGACCATAACCCTTATCTCTCGTTACTGATAAATTACATTGTCAGCGAACTTTAATGTGGCATAAAATTTGTTGTTGATGGCATTTGAGACTACAACGTTATTTCCCTCGACGAAAAATATCTTTACGCTACTGTGTATTCATGTTGGGCTTCATATTGATAAGTTTCGAGAGATATTTTGAAGTATTTCGATTGCTAATTTGAACTTTTTGTTTTTGAGTTACATGATATTTTATATTATTCAAATATCTTACTTTTGACTTTTTTCTATCGTTGCCATACGTTCTTTGAGCGTATTATTTTCATCAACATATTTGGCAATTTGCTTTTCAAGTGCATCAACATACTCTTTTTTCTTTCGACGACTTTCTTGTGCTGAAATCTGAAAAGAAACCAAACAAAATTACTTATTTGTTTTGTTCTACTGTTTTTTTCTTAATTACTTTATTTTTAATTTTTCGTCGAATTTTTTTTAACATTTTTTCTTCAGTTTTATTCAATGGTAATTTATTTGGAATTTGATAACCTTCTTGTTTTATTAATTTTATCTCTTCATTAGTTAAAACTAATGGACCTGCGGTGGGTAAATTCTAAAAATAATATAAAACATAAAAATGGATTTTCTTTCTTTTGCTTTTTAACTTACATCAAAATTTGTTAACATTTTTGAATAAGCATTATCTGAACTATCTGGTGAATTTGAGCTTATTTCATCAGGTGATTCACTTGAGCTTGATGGTGTTAATGGTAGAATGTCTTCCATTGGAAAGTCACTTATAGTTGATGATGAAGGCTCGAATTGTAAATTATATAATTCAGTTGGGACCGTTGTTGTTGTTGTCAATGGTACAGATTCTATTCGTAATGAACTTCCAATTGCAGTTCTATTCGATGTTTGAATAAGAATAATAGGTGTTTTAGTTAATTGATTTATATTAGCTGTTGTAATAGTAATTGGTTGTGTTGTTGGTACTTCTTCCATGGGATCAGTACCAATTTCACGTGTCGTTGGTTCAGATTCAAAAGATGTCGATGCAAGATCAATCGATTGTTCCTTTAACAATGATGGATCAGATGATAAAAAATCGTTTAAAAATGCTTCAAAAGCAACAGGATCAAATTGATCTTCTGAATAATTAAAAAAAAACAAATTATAAATATTAAAACAACAAAAAAAACCTATTGAATATATTAACCTGCATTATCGATGGTATTTGATATTGGACTTATCAATGATGAGTCATTATTAAAATCACTGAGCATAATTTCATTACCAAAAAGTAAACCGTCTGATGTTGGTGACTTTTGTCCGTCATCAAATAGAAGATCATACGGATCACAAACAGTTTCCATCATCATTTTGATAGATTTGAATATATTCGCCTTAAATTGAAAGTTTATATATGATTCACTTTAGTCAGCAGATAGAAGGTAGTTGATAAAGATAAAATATTTTTCAAAAACATTTGATAAGAATTATTTCTTAGTTCTGATTCACATATGTTGAATAAGTTTCATTACAATTATCTATTAATTTTCTTTTGATTTTTGTTTGAAACAGAAATGGATTCATCTTGTTTTTCTTATTTTATTTTTAGTGTCTTTTGATTCATGTGTAAGACGCAAAACTTACCTTATATACAAATAAAGAAGAAAGCAGCTACCACTGAGCACAATCAGCAACCAAATGTAGTCGTCATCGAAATGTAATGACGTGTCTCGTCTACGATGTGGAAGTCTGTTTTCTTTTGCCACGTTGGCAACTATTCATAGTGTATATATAGTGACTCATCGCTGTTCTGCATCTCTGTTGCTATTTGGATAATGCAATGCAAGTCATATGAATCAACAGAATTTCATCATCAATACATAATACAGCTATTCATATAGCAATCGTTGATGTCATCCAACCAATATTGTCAATATTTTTGTATATTTTTGTCTTTCATTTCACTGATAATAATATCAACATGAAAATTTCCGATGAAGGTAGTAGATGACTAATACAACTCAAATATTACACAAAACTATATTAGTCATCGTTGAAAAATAAAATTGTTATAAATAAAACGCAAAAACAACAAAAAATAGTCCTAGATACTTATCATGATCAAGAGATAAAACATTCCAAAAAAAAAAAACTTCTAAAATGACTAACTCAGCTTATTAATTCAATTCGTACCAATGCATAATTTTAAACTATTTCTACTATATCAGTGATGAGACTGGTACCAGTAATGGTCGTGAAAATTTCAGACTGGTTCTATCTCTGTACTGTATATTTTGATATTAGTCTAAAAAATGTGTCCTAATAGTATTTCATAAGAAATAATGATGATTCCATAGGAACATGCTTTCATTTCATAGAATATATTTAGTTTTAAAATTTTCTCAAAAATACTTTTATTAATTTAGAAATAGAAAAGAAAAACAAACTTTCATTGTAAAATAGGTCGTACATTGACAAATGACGATAAAGATTTCTGACGAGGTTCATATTGATAACAATCGGCTTTCATTGTATGCATCCATTCGCATTGTTTAGTTTCATTAACATTCATAGTACAATATTCATTTGTACATAAATCACAAGAAAAATCTTTCTTGAATGATATACTATATCGTATAATAGTTTCACACATTGTACCACTTAAAAGACAACATCGACATTCACATATACCATTACCAATAGGACTATTGTCAATAACAACAGTAGCTAATTCATTTGTATCAAGTTCACGTGTAAGAAAAATATGGGCCCAATATGAAACAATAAGTAAAAGAAGTAATCCAATAAAAAATGATCTCATAGTTGACTTTGTCTTGGTTAATATGAAATACTAATGGCTTGCTAGTATAGTTGGCTGATACAAAATAGGCATGATCATCTATGATAATTGATATACAAAGCGCTACACAAACAAAAAGTAACCATATGGACGAGTGTCATACACCGTTGCTGCTTTTTTTCCTCTGTATCCTTACACGGGTATTTGCTAGTACCAATAGTGCTTAATCATGTTTCAATTATAGAAATATCTGCTAAATACGAAAATAGCTATTAAAATTACGAACTTACGGAACATCATTTTATTACTATTAAAAGTTTCAACAGTCAACCCAATGAAAGTCAAGTTGTTCTAATATTTTTAATAATAATGCTAAAATAAGTTTATCAATAAGTAATATTCTTCCGTAAATAATATCTTGAAATTTGTGGATTTTTTTTTGTAAGATTTCATTCTTAAGTAATACGATTATTAATTTTAATAATGTAACACAAATAATTGTGTTATTGCATTTTTGCAAATTTCAATTTTGATAAAATTGATATTTGTCTAGATAAAAGTTCTATAGTTTATCCTGTTTGAAATACGATTTATTTTATTGATAATAGATTGTTCAATTTTTCGAATACTATGACTTCGTCAATGAATGAAATTTCTTTATGATTTCAAATTTAAGAGTTTTACTATACAGTATTGATGTTTTTATCGAATCATATTAGTTCAAGAATGAATATATACTTATTTACAAAATATATTTTTTGATAATTATAAAATCACAATTTCTTTTACAGTTCATATATAAAAGTTTATTTTGCAATGAGAATAGTGATAAATTGTTTTATGTAGATCTTTATTTGTATTATAAACAGACCATCTTTAATTGATTGTCAATAATTGAAAAGATGCAGCTGCTTGTCATTTTGTGCATCAAATGATTTTTCTTTTTTGTGATAATGATTTATTCATTTTTTTGCTTGGATTTATTGAAGGCGGCATTCGTTTTTCATTTTTGTCTCTCCTTGAATTAGTGTCGCAGTGATCGATGAGAAAAATATCAAGATATGTCAAATTAGAATCAGTCCAACTTGTGAATATGATAATCTCTAAAATGATGCATTAGTAGTCTTCAACAGATTCATCAAGTTTACTACCAGATTTGTCTTATTAGTGCTATGCTTTTTATATAGATGTTTGCACCGAAATTGTCTTCTATGTCATAATGAAAACTACATATCGATATCATTTTTTATTCGCTAATTTGCTCAAAAACTTAAGAAAAGCTCTGTAAGAATCATTCCAGCATATATATAATGCATTGTTTAAAATTGAAAATTTTGATTTTTTTTTCTATGAACTTGCAGAATCATCATCTAAAACCATCAAAACCAAATATTTAGCTCATGTCAATGTTATACAATAAAATTAGTATTTATCAACTTTACAGCCCTCTGTATCTACTATCAAAGAAATAATGATAAATAGTCTCATAAATGTCTAATCGGATTATACTTCCACAAGTCAAAAAGTTTCATCATTCAATATATCAAAAGATATATCATCAATAGTTGCAAAAAAAATGAGCTATTGAAAGTATTGTAAACCATTCATTTACTGAATCAACATGAATGAAGAAGATTACAAGTTAGCAGTCTATATGGTTCATTTTTGATAGTACAGGGTAGGCCATTAATAGCACTACGATAAAAAATCTTCAGTTCGGTTTGCTCGAATGAGCTGATTTTTGTATTAGTGCTAAAAGTTTATTGAAAGATTTTTTTTCTCATACGGATAATGGAAGCAAATATTACTGCCAAGTTATATTTTTGGCTTCATTGAGGAAATTTGACCTATTGTCAACTAAGAAAAATACATATGAAGCGTCAGATGAATGATTTCCATTTGTCATCAAAGAGAATAATAATAAGAAAGCAAAACGAACTATATTAATACACATAGAAGAAGTTTTTAAAACTAATACTCAGTTTGAATACTAAAATTTATAACCTATAAGTGAAACGTATTATTATAGTTTAGTGGACATCAACTTCCTTGCCAAAACCAGTATTTCATGTTTGAAAATTCAAAATTTTGTAACTACTGACTTTAAACCAAATCAATTCTGAAAATTTGTTCTATGTATATTAATATTGTTTATTTAGGTTCCATCTTATTCTCTTAAATTAAACCCGAAAATTATCTATGAAACGCTAGCACATGTATTTTTGCTTACTTGAGATAACAGGTAAAATGGCTTTCATGATACCAATAATAATACTTGATAGTAGTACTTGTCTACGCTATCCGTATGAATAAAATTACTTTGAATAAACTTCTACTGCGAACAAAAAGATCACTCCATTTGATTGAACCGGCTCAGAAATATTTTATTTTTTTTATCGTAGTATTATTGATGATGCACTCTGTATATCAATCTACTACTGTTTCGAAATTCAGCAATGCCAAGCTGAATTTCCATCGAAGAAAAAAAATTTGTCTTGAAGTCAATATGAGGTTTACATTGTCAATGAGTAGTTAAACAACCACAAAGACAACGATCGCAGACACTTTTTAGTGTTCTTCACATTTATAAGAATTTTCATCTCGAAGATGTTAGGAATTTATTCTGGCTAGAATTATATAGATAATGGATGGTCCATAAAAAATGAGATAGCTTATATTTGTCATCTTTGAAGAACGGAAACAGCGCTCAAAGGTAATATTCTATTTTTGTTTGGTAGAGAATTTTTCGCTCTATAAAAATGCAGACATTGTTTTTTTCTTGTCGAGAAAAAATTGGAAATATTGACGGATACTTCACTACTCAACTGCGATCTTCTGCGTATATCTCACGATTTAGGCAAGTTTGCTCTTTACAAGTTCGATGCTTCATGTAAAGTCTTCAGAACAAATAAATAGAAAATTTTACACTCTATGATCCCAAGATCTTCTCAAGGCTTCTAATGATTTCATTCAGGTACAAAAGGCTTGGAATTAACACTTGATAGAATTTTGTTTTGAATGCATCTTCAAAATTTATCTTTTCAACAGTGACGGTGCTCTATCAACGATTTATCATTATAGCATCGGATACAAAATTTAATTTTGAACACAATGATGTAACATTCAAACCCAACAACGAAATTCTTCAATTTTTTCCCAATGCTATAGAGCTGTCAGAAAGAGTCTTTTGTATTGTTTTCGAATTTTTACTTGACAAACTATTCTTTCAATTATTTATTTTCTAAAATTATGAAACATCGTGAGATGCAGCATTTCACGCCTTATCTTGCAGCAAATTGGAATTTTCAGTGGATCTGTTATTTAAATCGGATAATAATCATTCATATCAATAGAGTGCAAGACGTAAATCATAATCATATGATTGAAGTTCATTATTAATGGTAATGTAGTGGCGTAGGATTGATCCTCTAGTTCTCTATCAAATAATGTTCTATATACCACTAAATTACAATAAATAGTGAACTTCAGTCATATGACTATAACTAACGTCCTGCGGTTTATCGATATGCATGATTAGTATTCAATTTTGTAAGAAATTTTTATTTCAACGTACCCGTGATTCCTTCTCAAGAGTGTAAGAGGTCGAACTGTTTTTTGTTTTCGTTTTTATAAACAACTATACTGTATAATTCTAGCCAAGATGAAGTCCTAATATCTTCGCAATGAAAGTTCTTATTATGAATGAAGAACATTGAAAAGTGTTTTGATATTGTTTTCTTTGAGACTTTTTATCTGTTTATCGATAGAGATATTTCCTCCTATAGCTTTGAAAGTAAACCTTTTTTCTTCGATGAAAACTCAACTTACCTTCGTTTGATTTCGAAAAATGACAAGTAGATATACTGTCAACAAATAGACATCATAGTTTGCTCAATTGTGAATTTTCCATATGTATTGACTCAGTAAATCAATGATATTCACTATTTCAAATAGCTGATTCGTTGCAGTTGTTGATGATGTATCTATTGATATATTGCATAAAAAATTCTCTGACTTGTGGAAATATAACCCTAATAGACATTTATGAGATAATTTATCAATATCTCCTTGATAGTAGGTAGATAACGAGCGCTATAAAGCCGATCAAATTTAACTTTACTAAAAAATGTTGACATAAGCTAAACATTTAATTTTGAAGGTAGTATATGATGGCCTTCCATAAGCATATACAAAATTAAAAATTTTAATTTTGACTAGTGCTTCCATTCCTTGGCCTCCTTATGAATGTTCTTTTAAGAAATATGAGAAAAAAGCGTCGTTCATTGAAGGCACAGGTACTTAAAAGATTAATTTAGATGTTTGACTTTGTTCTGAATTTCTAATCATAGAGACGAAGTAATATCAATTAAATACAAGAAGCAGTCCTTTAATTATTTTAAAACAAGTTATTCATCTAAGGAGAAAAAAGAATCAATTAAAACAAAACTTGAAATAAGAAATTTGAGTTTACACTTCACATTCTTTTTTTAATCGAATTCTAACATCAAAAGTGTAGGTCATTTCAGACTTTCTTTTACATATTTCAAATCAATTAGTTCTGTAGTCATCATTAATTCAAAAACAGTATTCGTTGTTTTTCATGATCTTCGCATCAATAATAATGGTTTAATGAACTCGAAACGTTTTTGTTCCATATGAAAAGTCAGCAAAAACTCGGAAATATTAACATAAATATAATTGTCCTAGATATATATATAAGCAACTACTTTTCATTTGAATGCAACTAGGTGTTACATAAACTTATAGAAAGTTAATAGACAGAATTTCCTGAAGCAGTCTGAACACCAGCTGGTCTGCTCTTAAACTGAAGTCGAGGTTAATCAAACTCGGAATTCTATACTTTCACAACAAGTATATATAAGAAAAACTTCAAACATTATAAATACTTACAATAAAGAATAGAGCATAAGATAAGAATAGATTTCATATGATTCAAGCGTGAATTCACATAAGAAATTGAATAAATTACTAATCATTAAAAACTAAAAACTTCATAATAGTCTGATTGAAATTCCATTCATAATTGCTATAATAAAAAAAAATAGAATGGCTCAATTGTGTCATACGTAACTATAAGAGTTTTCAAATGACAACTTGAAAAACTCATTTCGTTGATATTTCCTGACCGGAGATTAAATCTTATAGATTGATATTATCAAAAGTGTCAACTGTCAAACATTAAACACATTCTCTATTAAAAAATTTTCATGAAATCATTCCGAGTTTTTTTCTCTATAAATCCAGTTCATTTCCATGTTTTTTTTTTTGTTCTTGATTTGTTGAATTATTTGCCGTTGTGATTATTTAATTCAAATATATTCAAATATTCATCTTTGTTTTTTCTTGATGTCCTAGTGTTTTTTGTCTTCTTATCGATCATTTATCTAATCACATCTAACAAAAATAACATCCTCTAATAACAGGATTTTGAATTATTCCATAAGGCATCAATCAAATGAAGGAACACATTATCGTATAACACCACAAAAAGAAAACGCAGATATTTGTACAAATTCAGGCTTTAGCGACCTCTAGAAATCAGAACGAATGGGTAAAAATAAGAACCATTGAAAATGAAAAACAAAACGAAGTTCATAATTGCAAAAAAAAAAAATTTCTTTTTCAAAATATACATTGTGTCATGCAAACAAAACGACAGCTGTCAATTTTATATAATTCTTTCATAAATACTCACGAAGTATTTAATAATTATCAATTATTATGGACGATTTCATCAATTCAACACTTATTATTCAATAGATTAATATGTAATTCAAACAGAAATATTTTCAACATAAGTAATGGTAATAATATGCATATTATATTGATTAAGTTTATTTCAATATCAGATTGAGAATAGCTTTTCATTATATGAAATCAGCCAAACAAAAACAAAGAAAGCAAACTATCAGACAAACATACAGTTTTTCTTCATACAGAGGTATATAGGTCTAGATAAACGAATATGTGCGTGTATTGACATTAAGCCTAATTACTTTAGCTTGTGTCTTAGTTACGATCAAAAGCACATACCACTATCATCACGATTATTCGGCTTCTTTTTGTCTCCTCAATGAATCTTCGAGTAGTTATGCTGCCTGAAGCGAATTCAGAGAAAAAAGAAAGAAAAAAAAAAACCATGAGGTTTTCATCATTATATATATATATATATATATTTATTAGACCTTTGTTTCTTTTTTATTGTAAAGTATCACACGTTTTACTCAAGCTTCATAATCCTTTTTTTACTGATCCAATATTTCCGATCAAAGCATGCGTACATGCAAAGATCGGCTTGATGACGCAAATACTGTTGCCGATCAACACACTTAGCGACGGTCGAACGAACGAGCATATATGTTGAATGTCTCAAGCTATCGGCTTCTGTTATTATATTCGGTAGAAATCTAAACTTGAAAATACTTTTAGCGACATATTAGAGAGAAGAGAGACAGTCGTCAGACATTTTCTTTCTATCTCAAGCAGAACGAACGCTTGCACGTCCGTTATAATTCTCTTTTGCTCAATTATGAGCAGCACGACGCACAGATGCCTGTGTATAGAGTAAAGAAAATGGAAAAGCGACAGAAGAAAAAGGAGAGCGAGAAAGAGAGACTTCTTCTCTTTCGCCCAGCACTAATTGTTAATGTAGAAGACAGACGGCATAACTAGAACATCAGGAACAGAAAAGAGAAGCGAAGAAAAAGAAGAAGAAGAAGAAGAAGAAGAAAAAAAAGGAAGAAGGCAAAGCGGAAGAAAAATGCAATAGGTTTCCCACAGGCAAGCGAACAAGGAAAAATCTCGACGAATGCAAGTAACAGAATGGTAGTAGTAGTAGTAGTGATGGCAGCATCCATCGTGTGCATGTGTTGTTTGGCCGATTAACTTTGGTGTGCATAGGCGAGAGAGAGAGAGAGGGAGAGGGAGAGAGAGCGAACATATGGAGAAGAAAACTTATGCTTATTCTGTAACTACTATGGTAGCATCTCTCATCATAATCAATTCTGATCTGATATAAACGACGATAGAAAGAATCTCTTTCTTCGTATGCGCTTGGCGCGTGTATATTCGTTGTCCATATGCAATTTGTACCTTCCCATTTCTTTCTCGTTTTTTTCTTGCACTCTCTTTTTACATCTGTACGTTGTGTTGTAGAAGAAAATACTACTCGCTCTATTGTGTCTATTTCTTATATACTAGAATATTTTCTTCTTTTTCTCTCTGTCCTATATTATTCCGCCGAGTTCGATATATTAATAGTGATGCATACAGATCAACTTGTTTTCTTGATTGAATAAATGAATGGCAACGAGTAGTCTTACCAACGATGTCATAGAAAGGTATAACAAAAAAACAAAGAACAGAAAAGAAGTAGTAGTAGTTGCACTTGCAAAAATTAAATCGATTCGAGCATGAGTGAGATGTAAAATGACATATACTCGATCATTCTTCTCTCATCGGTTATCATATTTCTTTTTCTTTAATGACATATAATTTGGATTAGTAGACAAAAAAAAAAGTCGTTTATAATATATGTCAAATTTTAAGCATATATCGGTCTCATTAGAAAGATCAAAGAAGATAGAAAAAAAAATCTAATTAATGCTTACAGTTTAACTCTGTAGAATAGAAAATCTTTTTCTTAGATTTTTCTCTTTTTTTTTTTTCAGTTCAAATCCAATTACACATGAATCACAAATAATGGCATCAACAGAAATAACAAATTCTTATGTTCGATGTGTTCCATCTTTACCAAATAATCGTTTAACAATAGCAGATTTATTCGATACACAAACGGTTAGTGGTAAACCAAAACTTGATCGTTTACGTGAACATCTTCTTGCTGAAGGACGTCTTCAAGAAGATGCTGCTCTAATGATAATTGAACGTGGTGAAGCTCTACTACGTGCAGAAAATAATTTAATCGATTTAGAAGCACCAATAACTGGTAAAATTTAATTGTTTGAAAAAAGTTTTTTTTTTTTCTTTAAAAAAAACAAGAATATTCGCTTTTTAGTTTGTGGTGATATTCATGGACAATTTTATGATCTTATGAAATTAATTGAAGTTGGTGGTATGTAATGAAAATAAAAAAATTTAGTCACGTGTTTCCTCTTTTGTTTTACATATAAAAAAAGAAATATAACATTGACTACGTGCATTGAGTTAAGTCAATAGAAAATGCAATGAAAATAATTATAATAGAAGAAAAAGAAGAAGGTTGGGAATGTTTCCATTATTCTTTCCGGAAAATTGACGGGAAAAATTTTTCCTTTTTTTTTTTTTTTTTTTTTTTTTTTTTGAAAAAAAGAAAAGAATGTTTTTCTTTAAAGGTCCACCAGCAACAACACGTTATTTATTTATGGGTGATTATGTTGATCGTGGTTATTTTTCTATTGAATGTGTTTTATACCTATGGGCACTTAAAATTCATTATCCAACAACATTTTTTCTTCTTCGTGGTAATCATGAATGTCGACATTTAACTGAATATTTTACATTTAAAACTGAATGTAAGATTTCGTTTTTGAAAAAATTAAGAAAATTTTCGAAAGAAATTTTTTCTTCAGGTAAAATCAAATATACTGAACGTGTTTATGATGCTTGTATGCGTGCATTTGACTGTTTGCCATTAGCTGCTCTTATTGATAAACAGTTTTTTTGTGTTCATGGTAAGTTAAATATATTAAAATTATAATCAGCATTAGCGGAGGGTGACTTAGTATATGTGTTCTGTCTTATTGAACTATATAATTCATTGATTATCATAGGTCATAGATAATAAAGTAAAGAACTGTGTACATTCTTGTAGACTGCTCTTGAAAATAATCTGATTTTATGACTTTCATTCCATTCAATATAATAAAAAGGCTGATTAAGTTATTATTAGATCGATATCATAAGCATGGATTTAAAAGACTTTTAAATAAATATAGGACTTTTGAAAACAGATTAATATGGTCTCCAAAAGAACAAAAGAATAATGGTATAAATAAACTCATAAAACAAAATTTGATTTTTTTTTATTTATTGCTAGCCATTGAATACAAGACTATGCATTTATATTATCATAAATCAATAGAATTTAGAGAGAAAAAAGCAATTTAACTTAAATCCAATTTTATTAAGACTTTTCTTTCCTCACAAACAACAAGTCCTTTTTGAACTGATGCAGTTCAATCGGTCTGGAGGATCATTATTAATCGGTTAATGAGAATGACTTCAAAAACACACATTCATTTTCTTCTTTTTTCTTTTGCATTCAGACTTTTACAAGTTTCCAAGAACAAACATTATATTATATGCGTTTATATTTATTAGACTTCTCAAAGATGAATATGTGATATTTCTATATATAGAGCAAAAGAAAAAAAAAAGAGTAATTCCTCATCAACTGATTGCTAAACTCCAAATCTTGAATTTTCTCACACACGAGGGAGTCTCTTCAGATATCCGCTTCCGATTTCAATGATTTTTTTTTTGTCTATACATACTTCATAATGTTCTAATAAAAAAGTCTCTAAAGAATTTGTGTTTTTATTGATGTTTGATTATGCTATCGAATATTTAATATAATGATTTTCTAGAAGTCCTAAATTTTCTGAAAACTTGTTTTTTTTTTCGAATTTCGATCTGAAACTTTATATATATATAGATAACTTGACTAGAATAGATTCCATAATAAAACAAAACAGAAGTTTTGAACGAAATCTCTTCGTTTTCAAGAAACGCATGTTGCATGCAGAGAAGAGTCTATATCTTGAACATAAGAAAATCCTTTGAGAGTTTTTATTAGCACACTAAGTAGTATCTATTGGCAAAACAATGATTGTAATCGGAAGAGAGCAACTACAGAGACTCATTCATCAACCTTTTTTAGGTAAACCTAATGTTTCTCTTCTAACAACGATTCAAACCAAAATTTAATCTTTACGAAAACATATATAAAAACAGTGTGCACGAATAGAAGAAAATAAAACTGATTGTTCTTCAAACAACACTATTTGACTATTTTGATAAGAACAGGAAAAACGATTTATTTATAAAATATTTTCCAACCGATTAAGACCAGCCAGTTACAATTCTGACAATTTTCATCATTGTCATTTTTGAAAAATATTCTATTCTAATCGCACATCTCAGAATTCTCAAGTGAGCTTCATTGTATTCAATTTCTTTTTTTTTGCAGTGAAACCTTTCTATATGAGCATCTCCTTATATTGAACAGTGAGTGCCTATTTCTAGTCTCATAAGTAATAACAATCTCCATAATAATGTGAGTAATGTATGTGGTTGTAAAGTAGAGACGACACACACACACACAGTCTACATCCACATTTCGTTCAAAGTACATATCATAGTTATTTTAGAAAGGATTAGTTTTGTGTCGTAAAAAAATTTGTTATTGCAAAAAAATAGATGATTATTTGAATTATTGAAAAGAAGAAAAAGATCATCATTATGCAGTTGAAAAATGATTGCAAGTGAAGACTTATCATTTGAAAGCAAAAACAAAAACAACTGAAAACTTCCTAATAATAAGTACTTTTTATTCGCATAAAAAATAAGAACTTAGGAATAAAAAAGAACTCTGTTAGACACTGTTAAATCTCTAGCCACTGCAGTCTGACATATTCTTTCATGTGCAAAAAGAAAAACTAAATATATAGAATGAGAGCCCATGGAGAATTTTCCGTTACCATATGGACTATTTTAAATCTTTATTTGAGGAAAATCTCTCCTGGAAACTTTATCGTATAGGATTGAAAAATTTTAGAATAGCCTCTACACTATACATCTAATATATCCTGAAAGTTTCATGCGATTTAAATGTACTTAGCTCAAGGGCGGCTTGTCCATCTTAATCTACTGTGTATATCGTTGAAACTATCTGTCATCGGTTCATTTTGATTGTATTCATTTGGAGATTGTCAACTTATGATAAACTATACATATAAGCAAAAGATGGAAATATTTGTTTGTTTATTTATTTGTTTGTAGGTGGTCTTTCACCCGAAATTCATACATTAGATGATATTAAAAAATTAGATCGTTTTAAAGAACCTCCACCATATGGTGCAATGTGTGATTTATTATGGAGTGATCCAATTGAAGATTATGGTCATGAAAAATCTTATGATGAAAAATATTTATTTAATGCAACACGTGGTTGTTCATATTTTTATACATTTAAAGCTGTTAATGATTTTCTTGCACGAAATTCTTTATTAACTGTTATACGTGCACATGAAGCACAAGATGTTGGATATCGTATGTATCGTAAATGTCCACAAAGTGGTTTTCCATCGTTAATGACAATATTTTCTGCACCTAATTATCTTGATGTTTATCAAAATAAAGCAGCTATACTTAAATATGATACAAATATCGTTAATATAAGACAATTTAATTCATCACCACATCCATATTGGTTACCAAATTTTATGAATGTTTTTACATGGTCATTACCATTTGTTGGCGAAAAAGTAACTGAAATGTTAATTAATATATTAAATATATGTAGTGAAGAAGAGCTTATAAAAAGCTTATCAACTGATCAACAAAATGATAATGATAATACATTTCGTCGTGAAGCTATACGTTCAAAAATACGCGCTGTGGGAAAAATGGCTAAAGTTTATGCATCATTACGTGAAGCTAGTGAAAATGTTATTAATTTAAAAGGTCTAGCACCTGTATCACCATCATCATCAACAACAAGTCTTAATGAACTTGTTGATGATGAAAATGATTTAACAGAACATCGAAAAGTACCAACTGATTTTTCATTTTCAACAGCTAAGACATTTGATCAAATAAATGAACGTATGCCACCATGGACAGATGCTGAACGACAACAACGTTTAGCAAATAAAAATCAAACAACAATAACAACAACAGATGATGATTCAATTATACATAATGTTGATAGTGAAGAAGAACAAATAGAATTAACAAATGAAAGAGATTCAAATACACATACACCTATTCTTGTTATACAAAAAGAAGATGAAAAAATTGTTAATGGAATTGACGAGTATGTCATATAAAGAAAAATTATTTCAAATATTAAATAATTATTAAAGTTGAATAAAATCATCGGTTCAATTAGAAGAAATACTTATTATTGTTTTCGATAGGATTTTTTCAGATAATTTTTATTTTTGAATATGTTTCAATTATATTTTTAATATTGGATATTCTCTAATTATACTTTCATCAAAGTAATCAGTCATAAAGAAAGAAAAAAAAAAGAAAATTAGAAGCAATTTTGTCTCTGAAATTTTTTAATAATAAAAATTATTTTAAACTATGTCTAATTATTCTATGTTTAGTCTTCAACCAACAACAGTAACATCTCAATCTTCTTCATCGCCTACTCCAATAGTCGAAACCAAACCTGATTTACCTTCAACAACTGTCAAACCTAACCCCGGTGATAATAATGATGATCTTGAACAAATTGAAATAAAATTAACTAAAAATTCTGATGAACAATCAATAACAACTACTCAAAAACCGTCTATAAATAATAAAAATTCGCCTAATAATAATAATAATAATAATAATCCGCATTCAACAACAACAGCTAGTGGTTTTTCATTAAAAAACCCTGTTAGTTCATTTCGTTCATGGGTATCAAATAAAAAATCATCAAAAGAAGATTCATCATCAATTGAACAATCAACAAATCCAACATATAAAAAAATTGATACGTCACCAACACCACGTAAAACTTCAATTGAATCGGATGCAACTAAACGAAATCGAACTAATTCAGCATCAGCTACAACAAGTCATACTCATGATCAAGATATGCAAACAAATCCAACATCATCAACAAATTCACAACGTGTTAAAAAGAAATCATCGTTTTCATTACGTAGTAATAATCCAATATCATTACTTAAACGTACATCTGAAACAACAAATAATACGAATGAAATTGAATCAACTGAACAAGCAGGAGCAGGAACTGGTCCATTTGGTTATTTAAAAAATCTTGTACGAGGCGAAAAGCAGTAGTTATTTATTTAATTCAATTTTGTTCGTTGTTCTTTTCTTTTGTATATAAATAAAAATCAACAAAAAAAAAACATAAAATCAAATCTCGAAATCTTTAGAAGAAATATAATATCTATAGGAAAATTGATCTTCCTTATTTATATTCATTTAACCTTTTAATATCATTAATCATTAACCTTTTCATCAAAATATCACCTGTGTTATTAATTGATATGTCGTTTTTCATTTATTCTTTTAGATGTCAACAAATAAAAAAGAAAAAGAAGAAGAAAAATTATCTTCAATAAATAATGATGATGAAATGGATCGTTTAGCACGTCAAATGCTTCTTGAAGAAGCTAAAAGAAATAAAATACGTGCACAAACACAAGGTGCATTAGGATGGCAAAAACCAACACAAGTTACAAATAGAAAATTTTTACGTAATACACTTATTTCAAATGCTGTACACAATATTAATAAAAATGAACAAGAAAAACAACAACGACTAAAATCTATGACGTATAGAAAACAAGATGATTATAAATATCAACGAAAACGATCGCATACACCACCAAGAAAAAAACATGATTATAATGATGATGAATTATCATCAAAACGAATGAAAAAAGATAAATAATGTTTTTTTCTTCTTTTCTGATGAATTATTTTCAAATACATATGTTAACTAAGATATATTGTCTTATGTTTTATTCATTTTCTCTGTAACATGTAAATGTAAACAACAGAATCATTTTGAATAATCAGAAACTATTGTGAGAGTAAATAAAGTTAATTATATTGAAATATTCTTTTGTTTTTTCGTACAAAATAATCTAATAAGTATAGAAGTCTAATTTTTTGGGAAAGACATTATAGAGTTTAATAATGAGAGTGCGTTTTTGTGTGATATTTCGAATGTTATTAATCAAATGACACAGTTTGTAAGAATTGTATTTTATAAATCTCTAATGTATTAATAAGAGATTAGATATTATCTATTCATTAGAGATCATGCAATTGATTGAAAAGATATCTTTATAATGGAATATCTAACATTAGAATGTATGTCGTATTTTTTTAATTGATTTACGAGAGAATCTCTCCAGATGTCGCCTTTCTATATCAAAGTTTCTGCATAGTATTCTAGTGTAAATTCTAAAAGAGTTTAAGTTCCTATTTGAAGTGAACAGAGCTATTGAATTTTTAATATGTCTATTTTTGTTAGAGGGCATTGTGAATGATGAGAGAACTATCCGAATTGATACCCGCCGTTTGAGATCATATAGAGTTCACAAGGAGATCTCGATTGGACTAGAAATATCTTAAAATGGTTAGTTGCCATCGATCTAAGGAGTTGAGTTATGACAGTTTTATTGAATTTTCGATCCAGCTTGAGATATTTACCGAAAAATCAAAGAATAATATTTTAATCTGAAATTTCGCTCAAAAACAGTTTGAATAACTTGTAGAATATCCGGAAATTTTCACCTAAAAAGAATATTTCTTTGTTGAGATATTGAATTTTTCAAATAAGTTCGATTTTTGCCACAAGCGATTCTTTTTGGAAAATGAATATTTCGACAAACGAACATTGTTTTCGGCTGAAACTTTAAGGATATTCTACTAGTCATTCGACTTGTTTATCGACGAAATTTCAAAGTGGAATATCAATATTCGATTTTTCGGTAAATACTAAACCTCTCCCCATATTAGAAGCCCCTGTGGGCTTATAATAGAGCCTGCAAACTTTGGCGGGATTTTGCTGGGAAAAACCGAAAATTTTGTTGGAGAGACCCCTCCAAGGGGGGGGGCTTCTAATATGGGAGGGGCTTCTATTATGGGGAGGGGTTTACAGTTTGATCAAAAATTCAGTAAAATAGTCATGACTCGGTTTCTGAAGTCTATGAACACGAATCCTTTTAGGACTTTTCTAGTCTTACTGAGACCTTGTTACGAATCCAATATGAGCTCAAACTGTTTCAGTCCGCCAGCGGTGGAATAACTCTAGACAAGTGACTAATGATTGTTTGCTTCCGATAACATGTCGACTACGTTATGGCATACACTTCTGGCTTTCTGTCTATAGCTATAGATAGTATTAACTGTAGGGAAATTATCGGTCTATTGAATCTGCCGAAAGGCAGAGGTATTCTTCTTTTTCTTCTTATGTATCAGAAACCAGCATCTTCTAGGAAGAGTTTCAAAGTTTGTAGATTTCGTCTCTTCGACATATGAACTTTTTCAAACATTCTTGTATTATTCATTATGTTTTGAAAAATTCATAGCTCAGTTATTAGAATTTATTTTAAAAAAATAAAAATAGATATTATAATCTCTTAATAATTCATTTTAATTTTTGCTTTCATTTGTGTATTTTCTACATCATCAATTAATTTAACAATTTTTTCATAATATCTTTCTTTAGCTAGTTGTTTTCCATTACGTTTAGGAGTAATATTAACATTAATACATGTATAGCCATGATCAACGAGCCATTTTAAGCGTTGATAATTTCCATGACTAATTAAACGTATGATATAAGCATCGATTTCTGCTTTAGCTGCAACACGATTTGTTAATACACAATATTCTCTTAAGTTTAATTTTTTATAATCAGGATGTCGAACTGTTACATCAACATTTTTATCAAGTAATAAACGTAAAAGATCTTTTTTTGAATTATAATGAAATGCTGTAACTAATGCATTATCATATTGACCTTTTACACTTGGATCAGCATTACGAAATAATAAAAACTTTGCTGCTTCATTTTGATTGTATGTTATAGATGTTAATAAAGCTGTTGTTGAATATCCATTATCTTGTTCTTGTTCAGTATTTATATCTATTTTCCAACGTGTTAAAAAATAATCTAGTAAACGTATTGAGCCAAGTTGTGCAGCATAAAATAAGCCTTTTTTAGCTATATCATTTTGTCGTTTTTCATTATATAAACGATGAATAAATGTTTCACAACGACGAATATCATTAAGTTTGAGTACACGAAAAAAACGTTTTTCATATGGAAGAAGTTTTGTTTGACGTTGAATTAGATCAGCGATACTATTATATTGTAATTCACAAGCATATTCATAAGCATTTAAAGTTTTTTGAACAAGTTGACCTTCTGAAGAGGCAGCTGTTGGTGTCATGATCTGATAAGAACATCAAATTTATTAATTTATCTTTTTTTTTTTCTTTCTTAGAAATCGACAATAGCCTTGAAAAGAAGTATTTTATTACTGTTACTATTCTTACAAACAAAAATTGAATTAATTATTATAGATTCCTAAATGTTAAAACAAACATCATAGATAATTTATGATCTTTTTCTTTTTGTTGATTAAATATCTCATTATATGTTAACTAAATATGAACAATTCTAAATAATAATTATTTTATATCTTTCCAGCTCGATTTCCTATTTATCCTTGACAACTGTTATTTCTTTTTTCACGTGAATTTTTAATAATTGTTTACTAAGTAAACATTTTGCACTAATAAATGGACAGAAAAAAAAAACATTTGATTTTTTTCATCTTCTATTTGAAGAATTCTTGAAAATATCAACTTACAGAATATTTTTTATCTAATGGTACTTCCATGTCTAATAAAATTTTAACAAATGCTTCATCATTATGTTCAATAGCATAGAATAAAAGTGGTTTACTAACTCCATCATTTAATTCATATCGAATAAGATCAAATTTATTTGCAGAATTTTCAAATCGTCGAACATGACCACCTTCAACTAATCGAATACATTCGAGATATAATGCTGCATCATCAGGAGTATCCAAGTCAGATTTCTCATAATCATTTGTATCGTCCATTTCAAATCGAAAATAATGTCAAAATATATAATAACAAAATTCTATGATCCCTTTCCCTCTCTTGTTCTCTATTTAGTTGATTTTGACTTCTAAGCAACGATTCTTTTTCTCTATTCGTTCTTCGTTAAAAAAGAAACTAAAAAAAAAAAAACATAAAAGACACACAGATATGTTATGTCAATAAAAAAAAACTAATAATATTTATTGTTCTAGATATTAATGATAAAATGTATCATTTTGATATGTGGACCACCAGCATGTCTTAAATCAACACTGATAGAAATACTTCAATTAATATGTAATCATCATCATATTATAAATTTAGAATATCTTTGTATAAAAAAAATTTATGAAATTTTCAATAGAAAAAAACAAGAAAATCAATATAATTTTCTTTCATTTGATGATTTATTTTTTGGTTATGAAAATGATATTATAGAAAATGAATCAAATTGGAAATTATATCGTTTATTAATTGCTAATGAAATTGAAAATTATATTTTATCAAATGTAGAAAAACATTCTTTAATTAATTTAAAATATTCATCACAAATACTTAATCGTCTTTATCAATCATTAAACAATTTAAATCATAATAGTATTCTTATTATTGAAGATAATTTTTATTACTCAAGTATGCGCCATCGTTATCATCAAATAGCTCAACGAGTACAAATTGGTTTTGCAATAATTCATCTTTATTCAAATATAAGTATTGCACTTCAACGAAATCAAAAACGTGAAATATCTAAACGTGTTTCAAATATTTCAATAGAAAATATTTATTCAAAATATGATTTATCAAATGATGATTTAATAATTGATACAACAAATCAAGGTTTAACAAGTGAACATTTGCATCGAATTCTTCAACGTATTGAACAAGCTTGTAATGAACCAGAACAACAATTAAATATAATTAATGATGAAGAACGTTATTTAGCAACAGAAATTAATCAACAAAATGTGATTTATCAAATTGATCAAAAATTAAGAAAATTTATTTCAAAATATTTAAAAGAAGAATTTTTAAATTATGAAAAATTTAAAATAAAAAATGATAAAAAAATTTATGCTGAAAAGATTAATAATAAACGACAAACATTTTTGGAATTAATAAAACATAAATTGATTTTATTAAATAATAATGAAAATATAGAAGATTTATTTCAACAATTTTTAAAAGAAAATCCTTAAATATTTGAGTATATATTTATATTAATCACAGTCAGATTATTTTCCTGTTAAACAATGTTTTTTCTTAATAAATGATAAGTTCACCGAGACTTGATTCACTGAATCCTAGACTGATGGATTAGAGATATGCATATAGGTGCATCCAGATATAATGTGCGTAAAGTAAAATACTAGATAAATACAAAAGGTGACGTGACATTAGTAAGTACGGTTGTCGAACTTTTATTTTATATGAAAATCATACTATTTAGTTGCTGCCATAAACAGCAAACAAAGAAAAGCGATCATCTCAAATTTCACAAACACTGACATGAAATACAGTGTTGATGCCAAATATCGTCATTTTGAATACATACATAGACGTTTTTTCCATCACGATAATACATGTTCATCTTTTTCATAATTTATTTTCCTTTTCATATATTCAGTTACTTCTTCATATGGGTCATCATCATTTCTAGATGAGTTTTCATTAAAAATGAATTCTTTTAGGAAAACAATATTGTTTTTCCCTTTCTATGACCTGTTCTCAACTACAATACGTTGCTCAGTCATGATCGAATTGGTTTTCATTTCTATGCTTTTATATCAGTTATATTTTAAGATGTCGAGATCGCATTAATTGCTGAATCGAGTGTTGAAGACATGATCCGATTGCTGGCCACTACTACATTTGATTATTAAAGTTCAGATTATATGTGCAATGTTATTAGTTTTTCAAAGGAAATTTTGTTTTCTCATTATTAGTATTATTCTGTGTCTTGTTTATGTTTGGAGTAAAACGAGTGGGTGTAGGTATCGTTACGGTGTGAGTCGTTTCTTGTACGAACCGATACCTACAGTCACAGCCACACCATATTCTTGCGATCTAGAAAAAATTAATCATGAGAATATTTCAAAAAGAAAAAAATAAATTTATCTACTGAACAGTATCGTAATGATTACGACCAATTACGGAGACGTAACGATGTGTCACCATTCAAAAAATGTATAGAATATATTAAAACAGGTAATAATAAATATTTTATCTAAACTGAAAAAAAGAAGACGAAATAGGTTTTTGATGAATCCTAAAATACTTTGTATCAAAAACTTTATCATATGAAAGACAATGAATTGATACTATCATTATTTTGTAATCATTTGAAGAAAACTGATGGAAATAGAGAATAAATGAATATATGACGTTTGGATGGAAAACAAAAGAAAAAGGAAACAGAGTACTAAAATTATATGAACATTCTATTGCTATTGTATGTTCTTTACGAGAATGAAAATCGTTTGTTTTTCGCATATATGCAAGCAAAACATAAAAGAAAAGGGTAGGGTACAGATAACAATATATTAATGTTATGGTCAAACTATAAAACTAGAGAAACTAAGTGATTATGTTGTTTTTTTAAATGTGCTAAAAAAGAAGTTATGCGATTATTCAAAAACAAAAATTAGACAATAGTTCGTTATCTCAATTCAATGATCATCATGGTGATTTGAAGATTTTAAAAACTATCTATAGATAGTAATGACATTCACGTCGAACTTTAATCAAACAAAAATACTATCAACATAATTACAATTATATTTATTAGAGCACTAATAAATGATAATTAGATGCAATATAAGAAACTAACTCAATCTCTTTAAGGTATAAAATGGTTTCCACTAATCGATTGTTTTAATCTCTAAACTTTTGAGTGGTTATTTCTGCATCAAATTAAATATAACAAAGTTGTACATTTTGCATAGGCACATAAAGTTGATTAAATGTAAAAAAAGATTTTTCATTACCTCATTATAATTGATTATACCTACAATTAGAAATCGTCAGCGAGGAATTTTTCTCCTAACTGTAATTGAAAAATCTGTCACTGTCACTTTACATCATTTGATGAAAAGTATTTATTGTGAGAAAATTGAACATTGAAATATTCCATATTAGACATCTGAGTATTATATATGAGGATATTAAACAATTCGCTTCATGACATTTGACTAGTATATATACAAAAAATAGACAAAAACTATACTTATTGAATTCACGAATGAACAAATAACCATTAACACAGTTTTTTTTTAAATACAACACAAATGCATATGAATGACAATCTGTCGATGAATGATGAATTCATTGAAAATAATCTGTTGATTTTAAAAAATTAACATTACTTGATAACATAATTATTACTTTCGGATACAACAATAAGATAGAAATTTTCCCGTTTTTATTGATTTTAATCTAGCAAAAAAGAATAATATCGATTGAAATTAATTTACAAGGAAGACATCATTTGCTAATGTCATTCACGTAAAAATTATCATTGTTTTTTTTTGGTTGTTATACTGTGTGTATTATCACAAAAAAGGAATAAAGTAAAAAAAACATGATGACTAAAAATATTATGTTTGTCGTTAATGCAATCTTCTATTGATTAATCGAAATGCTACTTAGTTTTGTGTTTATTCAATAAAACTACGTCGATGATTTTATGATAAATTTGATTCTATGAAAATAATATTGAATGTATTTATTATTTTGTTTTTATTTATAACATCTATTATGACAGTCACGGATAAAGTTTATTCCAAATTAGTGTAATGATGAATAAAATGAATCCATTAAGAATAAAACTCTGTTTCCATGTTTTTTTTACTAACGTGTTTATATATTTTTCAACAAAACTATTTTCATAAATTAGACAGACCATTCATGTTTTATCTTGCGTTATTTTTCAATCATTATGTACTGCTATTATATAAATATAGGAAGATAATCAAATTTTTATATTTAAGAATATAATTGCTAAGTTTTCTTAAAAAGATATCTTAATGTGAATATACAACATGAATAAGTTTTGCAACTGTGTCTAGACTAAAACAACACGACAATGTGACAATACAAAAACCTCATAGACGTCATGTCTCGTGGTGAAAAAAAAATGCATGATAATAGGTATATTTAGGTTTTAATTGAGAATAGTGTACTAGCATAGATGTAAAAAAGATGCTTAGATATTATCAATAACAACATTAATTCAATATATAATTTCATGAGAGATAAATCCATTGTCATTTCTCATTCAATTATGTATTTATGGTCGAAATCATATTCAAATATAGAAAGGTGACTGGAAAATCTTCATCAATATAAAGAAGCTGTTGAACATGGCAAACAAAATGTTAACATTGATAAGTACATGCTCAGTGCTACGTAGTTATTCTCATCAGTAGATCTTTAAGTAAGCATTCTTTTGAATCAAACAAAAAACTTGGTGTTTCTTTATAGAAAAGTTTTCTATGCATTTTCATGTTGATAAAGAAAATAAAATCGATTCTTTCATTCTTTAAATGTGGCCTATTCAGTTTATTTTCTTTCCTAATAATTTTCTTCTTCGAAAGGAATTTTGTTCAAATGCGTTCAATTATCAAAAATATAATTTTTTGAAGTGACAATCATAATTATAAATATTCAGACACGTACAAATATTTTGCATACGTAATACTGCGTACTAGTGATCCTGAAAGTAACAATCTCATATTTCTTATCTTTTTTAATCAATCTTCTTCAGTTTCGCCCTGATGCTTTAAGGATGACTTCACCTTTCGTGATCAAAATTTTTTGTTTTTCTTGTCAATGTTCTTCAAAGGTTAATAAATCTAATTTTGTCACGAAAAAAGTGAACACTGAAGATTGTTTCGTATTTTTCTCAAACAAATCTTTTCATAAAAAACAAGCACAGAAACGCCTCTATTTCTTCGGTTTAGGTTGTCCGATCGAGCAGAAGCTTTTTTCAAATAACAGACAA